TATAGGGGGCGGTTCAGGTGAGAATGCACCTTGGTGAAAGAAATAAGAATAAAATCTAGCCTTTGGATCTGATGCATCGTGCGGCTCAGATTGCATCCTGCACTCAGATTTTGAGATAGTGCATTTTTAAAGGATTTTGGTGCATTTCGACATGATGCATTTTCAAATCATTTTGGTGCACCTAATTTTAATGCAATCCTGACCCTTAGATTTGACAATCTAAAAACCAGATTCATTCTTATTTCTTTCATAAGATTGCATTCTCACTTGATCCAAAATCTATATATATATATATATATATATATATATATATATATATATATATATCCTATATCCTTTATCCTTTATACATAATATTTGGGAGTTAAACTCCTAGAATCTTGACATTTGTCATGGTGAGTGGACAAGATTTTAAACAGCTCATCTGCCATGTCATCCAGTCAATGTACCTGTTATTTCTTAACCAAGTCGGATGACCCTTATAGTGGATTGCAGGCGGATTCCAGAAACCTCACCCGATCAGAACAGAAACTCCCCCGTGCATCAGCCTCTGCCATGAACTCACCCGTTCAATTCTGGAGATTCGCAGACAAATATAGAGATGAGCGCAAATACGGTAAGTTTCTTTCCCAGATGAATTTGAGATGAGCGGAAATTCAGTGAAATTATTTCACACTTTCCCTTTTCTTAAAAAATCATAAATAATCTCTGCGAAATCAGTTCTTCATTCGAATTTTCCGTTTCAAATCTATCGATTTTCAACCCTTTTTGCTGCAAGTTTCCTTCTTGCGGTTTTCTACCCGTCGGCTCTTTCTTGGATTTCTGAGGTGAGTTTTCTCTATATTTGTTGAGTTCTCTGTCTTCAATTGCTCCATTTTCGCATGTTGCTTTTCTTTAGAGCCTGTGCACTTACATTCATCTCGCCATCTGAAACCTTTGTAGGTCGTTGCCATCCCCTCTTCCTTAGCCATCTTCTTGACCTTGATGTCTCCAAATTACAAGTAATTTCGAACTCTAATTTTGATAAAATTGTATTGGTAAGCTAATAATTACAAACTTGTGTGATTATATGAATGTGTTGTTTAAAATGCAGTAGTCATAATGTAATTATTTGTCATTGACACCAAATGCCTGGGTGTCTTTCTTTTCCTTCTTAACACCTACATTTAGTTCTCATGTGAGTGTCACTATTTGTTTTCCTGGCCATACCAGCACAGGTCTGTGAGTATTTGCTTTCCACCTGTGCACCAGCATTGTGTGTTATGTTGTAATCTACGCCGCAGCCCATTGCTCGCTAGAGACGGATAAGCCTCTTCAATATCTCTCTTTTTATTACTTCGTACATATTAATTATAAAATAATATTCAGGGGGTTGTTGTCTGTCTTTGGGCATCTCTTTGTGAATTGTTTGCCAGAAACCATTGTGGGAACAAGGGTTTTGAATGTTGTCACTGTGGCAATGACTGGATTTTGCAGGGACAAAGATAATTGCATCCAGGTAGGTTGGTTATTTACACCACTTCAATTTCAATTTAATTTTTCATCTAAAATGATATATAAGACACTTTTGATCTTTCTTCTATCCAAAAAAGCCATGGATTTGTATCTTGGGTGCGTTTCCTTAAGAGGTGGAAAAAATTAGAGAATAGGCAGTAGCTTAAGGTTTTATATATCTTCCTCTGTGATTTTATTTTTTTATTTGTAATTTTATCTAGAATTTCAAAATGAATTTGTTAAATTTTGGTTTCAATTGGGTAATAGATTCCAATCTGTCGTTCTGATGAACACTTGATTCCACCCATCTATATGACAAAGTTGAGAAGTTAAAATCCTCTACACAAGTCAAAACTGTTGCTTCTTCCTCGATTAGTTCTAAAAGCATAGAAAGGAGGAAGCCAATTTTGTTTTAGATAGTTTCTTTATGTTTTTTGAAACATATTTCACAGCATATATTGTAGTTTACATATTTTTAACAATCAGGGTAATATATTTGGCTTTAAATGGAAAGGATTCTATGATATTTTTTGCATGGATATTTACAAGACACACAAGTCAATCGGGGATGTCAAAGCAGAAGGTTACTCATTACAATAGAACTGCATCTAGCCAGACTTTCACTGCAATTAAGATTTTGGAAGAATCATTTTCAGATGCTAATGAAAATGATGAGGTACTTTTTAGTTTTTTTGGGAGCATGTGTGTTATTGCCCAGTTCTATTCTAAGCCACCTCATGAAAACATAATAATGAATACCCCTCAATACTCCTCAAATGATTTCGAGCGTATCACTGATTCTTTTTCAAATATCAAGTATTCTTTCCTTCATTCAATTTACTCAACGATTTCAATTGGTAATTGTTATTAATATGATTTTCCCCCATTATGAGGAGGTAGATCGGAACTCTCTAATTTGGAGTTTAGGATTTGGTTTTTTGTTTTTTTGATGAAGTAATATGTGTATTTGTTATGCAAATTCAATTGTTAGATTAGTTTTAAAATATTACCTCGAGATACCAATTCACTGTTTCACCATCGTGACTTTGTTTTGATGTGTTTTACAATTTGCAGATGTGGTGGAAATTTTTTAGAGACAGTGAGAGGTGGCGGAGAAGAATATTAATGGAAGAAGTGTGTCTTGCCTAATGTTGGAGTTTCAAGATTTGAGGTATGGTTTTAAATCTATCTTAATATGTGATTTAGTTGAGTAAATGTAATCGACATTCATTTTATAGATCAATGGCCTAGCTAAACCTAATAGAAAATTAATATGAGCATCTTAACTTTGAATAATGATATGTCTCATGTTTAAAAATTTGGACACCAATTGAGACTCTGGTATCAGCATTGTGCATTATGAGTCTTAGGGCATGAAATTTGCCGGGAAACATACGGTTATGGATAGTGACTTCTTATGGTTATGTTGTTTGCATTTTGCGATGGATTCAATATAGAAAAGAGGTAAAAATATCAACAAAAGTGTGTAAATTAGTTTCGCGGCACCTTAGACACTAATATGTGGCCTGGCAGCCAACATAAGGTTTGTCTATTTGGTCTCATGGTGTAGTCATAAACTCAGGTAGGGTTGTGTGACTTGGATAACAAACCTGATCCAAGACGTCCAAAAATAGCAATATATATGTACCTTAAGAGTGCTTGGTAAACAGAGTTTTAAAACACGCACTACAGCACTATCACCACCCAAGGTTTACCAAATGAACTAAGAGTATTGAATTGAAGTTTTTTAAGGAGTGAGAATCTCCCTTCATTTATATTCTCCATTTGGGTATAGATATTTGTGAACACATAGAACATTGACATTGATTATGCAGGCAGTTAAAATGCAACTTACTCTTTAGTATAAGAGTTTAAGTGACTACCTGAGCCAAAACTTTCCAGTCAAAGATGTTATCATTTTTGGATTTTTCACTTCTAATTTAGTGAAACATTACATGAGTAATGATTTATTTGATATGTTTTTGTTTTAACACTAATGCCCCGCATACAACCAGAGCCCATATGTGTAACATAATATTTTTTAGGGTGTGTTATATGTTTATTGTGTCATGGCTCAGAATATAAAAAGGAATCAATTCTTGCATATATTGATATACATTAAACTATTTCTAGGAGCAATTTCCCCCTTATTTTGACACAGGGCATCATCGACTCCTTTATCGCGAAGTAATACAATCTCCTTCCACTTAAATTTAAAGCAATAATAACATAGCTCTTAGTTACAAGCGTTGTGTTTGAAATAAGTAATTAAATTACTTTTTTAATTAAGGAATGAATGTTGAGGTTTCAATTATGGTATTGATGAATGATTACTATGTGTTTCTCCTCTACTATATGTTTGCTCCTCAGGTAGTTGTTTCTTACATGCTTTTTTTCCTATAATAATTGACGAGCAAGAAAAAAAGTTCATCTTTGTAGGATAAAAAAGCCCGAATTTGCCAATTACATTATCTTGCGACAGAGTTGAAATTATTTGTGTTTTGGACCTTTTTCATGAAATAAACTGAAGGGCCAATAATCTATATTTGGGTGTGAACTGTGAGGGACAACCATTGCATTACTAGAGGTCCTTATATTATTGATTTCTGGCTAGGCCATTTCTATAAAATACAGAGTAATCAATTTATCGTGATGTGTTGCAATGACAAACCAAGATTGGTTATCTTTCAAGCTATTTCTTCTACATGTTCCTTTTCTATTTTTTAAATCTTTTCATTGTTGCTTTATTATCACATGGTTTAAGAAATATAATTGGAGAACTACTTCCTTCCAATGGACAATTTCTATGTTCCCCTTTCTGACATCTATTTGCCCATGTTCATTACAATATGTCATTTTGGACTTTGACGGAGGGAGATAGGTGTTAAAGGATTAATTGTTTGGTTCTGTTGCTAACCTGACTACGACTTCTCTGAACTCCGAATGTAACTTCAGAATTATTATATTCCAACTAAAAACCAATTGTCAATTGAAAGAGTAACTAACAGTGTGAATATTAGTCTTTGTTTTTTACTTAAGGGGAGATGTGAGATTATATCCTCAAAATCCAATCTCTAATCTTAACTTGGTTCTTTTTGCCCCAACATAAAGTCAAATTTAAAAGGAAATTACATGACTGGAGGGAGTATTATTTCTTTTTACTAATTTTTTTATAAACCTTTAATGGTACAGATTTCGTCTTTGAAGAAAGGAGTATCAATCATGTTGTTAAGGAATATTTTAAATTGTGTGGTTGTACAAAGTTAATCACTAAAGAGTTGCGAAAAATATCATCGGTGCAATTGTAGGATCACGAAACAATGCTGAGGAGAATGTTTTCATGCCGTAAATGAATTTGGTACTATTTGATCCTGAATTGCTCTTGAAGTTTCAAAGAAAACCATTTGTAACATATGTATGTTTTGCTATGACTATAAAAAAGAGTCAAGATCAAACATTGCGATTTGTTGAAATATTTTTTACAGTAATCACTCACGAATAATTTTACATTTTTTCGTGAGTGAAAGCAAAGATTTGCTTGAAAATATTATTTTAGTTTAGGTGACATTAATATGGGCAATTTCACGAAAAATGTGATATGCCCTAATTCTTTTCAAAAAGTTTGGTTTTAAATTACACATTTACATAGTTATATAGAAGAATCACCAATAGCAATGTTTACTTAACAGAGCAATAATTTCACTTTGTATATATTAAAAAAATTTCAAGCCAGATATGAGATTGAACTAATCTACACTCTCTTGCACAAATAGGGACACACAGGGTTTTTCTGATTGGATAATCAAAGTCGAAGATGGAAAACTTAGACAAGTGATCGATGGAACTGTTAACGTTGAAATCTCGCTTGGATGCTTGATTCTTGACATAAGTTTTCCCCTCAAGAATATAGTGGACTTCACTTAAACCTATTAGAGAACATAAAAAATTATTCTTTTTTTAGGATAGTGCACCATAAGCACCCACACTCGAGTTTGTTGAATGGTAAATAGATTTGTCTTATCCCTTATTCTAGGAGATGAAAAGGAGTACGTAAGTTCTGATTCTTCATGCAAAACTGATTTAGATGTAGTTGTTGAAGACGATTGGATAACACTTCATTTTTTTAATAAAATCAAATGTTGGGGGATCTTAAACCACAATATAGTTTTTAAAAAGGAGTAAGAATTATGTCATTGAAAAACATTGACCAAATATCTTAACTGTGTAATGGTAGAAGATTAGCCATTGAGAAGCTGAGAAAGAATATTATCACTCCAATTGAGATTTCCGGAAATCAGTTGGGAAAGAGATTTATATACTCCAAATGAATTTGGTACCATCTGATCCAAGACTACTCCTAAAATTCTAGAGATGACAATTCTCAATAGCCTTATCTTTTATTACGACTATTAACAAAAGTGAAGGTCAAACATTGTCATTTGTTGTATTATTTTCAACCAACTCAGTATTTACTCATAGTTAACTTTATGTTACTTTTTTACGAGTGAAGGTAAAAACATGATTAAAATATTGGTTCTAGATGAGAATGGAAACCTTTACAACCATACCAAAAATGTTGTGTACCCTAAAGTGTTTTGAAAAAATGGAATTAAAAAAGATTTTTTTAGTACACTCTCAATTCCTCAAATATTACATATTCTACTTTTTCGTTGTTGTCCTTTGATTAAAAATCGTGCTATAAATATATTTACTTGATTTCGGAAAAATATATTGTTTTGAAAAAAATTGAAATCGACAAAACTATTGTTTGACCCCGTGCATCGCACGGGTCAAAACACTAGTATATATGTAAAAGAGAGTTCAATTGTTGTAGTGTTGACACGTGGCATGCCACATGTGCATCGACATGTGCACTCACTAATGATGTGGATTTATGCATTTTAATTCATTGGTCCATTTTGATTTTTTAAAAAGATCTTTGAATACATTTGCATAAAACTTTTTCATTTTTTAATAATTCTATATATATATTTCATCATCGTAAAATATACTCCATATTATATATATATATATATATATATATATATATAATTTTTATACTATCCACAACTTATTTTAGTTTATTACTTTTTAAAAAATGATTATATAAATTTAATCACATATGCATATTTATTAATTAAACGATTTGTTTCAAAAAATTTATCTTATTACATTATTTATTTTATTAATGCATATCATATTATTATTAAAACATTAAAATAAATAAAATTAAATTTTAATTCATATTATGTTCATATATGAATTGAACTTTTAACAAACATCCAAAATGTTAACTTAAAATATCTATGTTAACATATAGATATATTTTATAGAGAAATATGCGACACGAGGTAAAAAGTAGTATATATATAAAATTAAGTTATGGTTGGAGTAGAATGGTTGGAGTAGAGATGGAAAAATTAGAAGCTAAAACACTGTCGAAGAGCTAGATTGACTTTTAGCTTTTAATTTTTTAGACTCTCCCTTACCCAACATTTTGGTTTCAACATTACGACAAGTCCCTAATATTTTGGGGGAGACTCAAAACCCGGGTCAATTATCACGCGTCTAGTCATTTCCCATTTTCCTGGCCGCAACGGCATTTGAGCTACTCCGCATAACAAACCGACGCCATAGCTTTTCCTTCTGCCATTCAGGTTTGTACGGTTAGATCAGTCCAACATCATTCAATTCCTCGTCCTCCCTGTTCCTAAACACGTTTCCCTTTACACACAATAATGGCAGGTTGAAACCCAGATTTGATCTCGTCTCCCCCATTTCCAGAAAGTTGACTTCTTTTTAGGTCACCCCCTTCCTAGAAGGCCATAATCTCCCCTACTCCTGAAATGCATTTCTCGTTTATTGTTTCTAGTAATGTAATGCTGAGATGAGATTGGATCCTACCTCGAAGATTCCCATTTTTTAGGAAGTTGACTTCATTAATTTGGACAAATTTTCACATTATTTCCTAGCTGGGGGTTTCTCAATTCTTCGACCCTTCAGAGGATTTGGAAACAAACTGGATGGGGGAGGGGGAGAAACTCCCCGTAGACCGCGAGGAAGATGGAGGAGGTCAATGGAGGTGGTGGGGGTGCATATATGCCGAGCCAGTCCGGTGGTTGAGAATGCTTGCGGGAGAAACACACTGGAGCTTTGTGTTTGGTGTGGTGGTGGTGTATGGGATCAGCCAGGGAGTGGGTGGAGCTTTTGGCCGTGTCGGCACAGAGTACTACATGAAGGATGTGCAGAAGGTGCAGCCCTCCGAGGCGCAGGTCTATTCAGGAATCACGTCTATTCCTTGGCTTGTTAAGCCATTCTGGGGTATCCTCACTGATGTTGTTCCCATTTTGGGATATCACCGCAGGCCTTACTTCATCTTTGCTGGTACACATTTCCCCTTTTGCATTTCTTATTTTATAGGTTGATAGGTTTCTTGTTGGCTTTGGATATATGGTTTGATGAGTTAAAGTTCAGACCTTTCGTGTTTTGTTGCTGCTTTTGTGAGCCGGGGGTCACTTCACACTGGGTAGCTTGTTGTTGTGATTATGATGTATTGGTGTGGTAAAAGCATTGATATCTTAGGTGGTAAAAGCGCCACTAATCTTAGACAACATGCCTTTCTTGGTTCGAAGAGAAACAAGGAAGAAAGAAAATAAGAAGAGAAAGAGTAGAGTAAGAGCCAAATAACATTGTTTGGTCCTGGTGATATATATATGGAAGAAAATGAGGAAAAAAAAGAAGGTTTCACTTACTTTATGAGATCTCTTCTATTGTGGTAAGAAATGGAGGAGAAACTTTCCCCCTTTTGTTTCCATTTACGCATCTTCTTTCTTTCCCTCTCTCTGTCTTTCTTCTATTTGTCTCACTCTCTCACCAAACATTGCCTGAAATCCTCTATTTCTTACATCGTTCTTTGTTTCTTCTCAGTTCTCACACACTTCCTTTCTTCCTCTCTTTATTACTTCTCATGATTTCTTCTTTATTTCTTTGTTCTATGTTTCTCACATTCACTAAACAAAGCCAATAAGTTTCTGGTTACTTACCCCAATATAGTTGGGATTAAGAGGGTGTTATTGTGGTGTTGTCATGTTCTCCTTGCATTTTCCATATCTCCAAAACTTGCAGCAGAGAATCAGAGGGGCCTATGTGCGGCTGCACTTGGCGGATACTGTAAATACAAAAACAAAACAACAACATTACCCCAGTGCCTCAACGGCTCCCGCCCATATTGGGGTAAGGGGGGGGGGGGTCAGATGTAAGCAATCTGACCCCTATGTTTAAAACATAGAGCGGCTGTTTCCGGATGACCCATGATGAGCGTCAAAAGTTGCATTGGCAAATGCTACTTCACAATTGCAAGAAGCCCAGACAGGTTCAAGAGCCAATTTGCTTTATTCCATCATAACCTAAAGCCAAAAAATAGTGAATCTTTGGCTCCACAGGGGAATGGACTTGGCGGATACTGTAAATGAAAGAGAAAAACTGGTTTTTCAATTTAGGAAAAGAAGTACACATCTCGAGTTTTCTTCTCCACCCTCTCTCCCCCTACTATTCTTACTTAGCATTTAATCGTATCATATTTCAAGATTTTACCAAATCAAAAGAACATCATATAAATACTGCAATAAGCCGATTCATATTGTTTATGGAATTGGTTTCAATTTGATGACCTATTCATCCTGTATTTGTATTAAAACATAATATCCAATAATAAAATGAGAAATTTATCTAAATAGGACTAAAACATAATGACTTTCTTAATATAGGATCATATGTTTTTATTTCCTAATGTAGGACTTTTGGTCATTATCAAGTAGTCATTATTCAAGTAAATGTCCAGCATTATTAAGTCCTATTTAGGGAATAAAAAAGTTTAAGTCCTACATTGGGAAAGTCATTATGTTTTAGTCCTATTTAGTGCAAATTTTACTAATAAAATCGGCGTATTCATCTAGTGTCTATCAGAACACAATATCCAAAAGAAATGTTTACTCCCCAGACCCCACATGTAAAACTACTTTATTGGGTTGTTTGTCTGGAAGTAGCATTCAGGCCTGATGTAAATATAACAAGAGTAAGATCTAAACGGTTATATATGTGATAAATATTACACTAACCCAAAACCCTTAACACGCTCAGAAAAGCAAACCTTAAATATTTCTGAATGCTTGTGAGACAAGAGACAATATTTTCTCAAACTAAAAGGGCTCTCAAGCATAAACATCAAATAACCCAAATCTTAGTATAAAATACTAAGTTATTCCCATAAGCTCTTCTCTCTCTAAAAAAATATTGATATAAATATGAAGTGCTCCATCCATTATTTATAAGGGAAAACCTAGCTTTGACCAACTTTAATTCTTGATGTTTTCATCCACCATATGCTGATAAACTCAAATTGATTTTGTCTACTGAACCCGCGAACGTGGAACATTTTAACACATTTTTTTCATTACATTTGCTAAATTGCTAAGAATATGTAGAGATTTAATATGTAGGCCCTCCATTTGGAGGGATCCCCCTAGCAATTCTGTGATGTAATAAAGAAGAGTTTAGCAATCATAACAAAAAAAAGTACAATCTAAAAAGATCTTGGAATTCAACTTTTTTGTTGTAACATTATTTTTTCTATTTATTTTCTAATATTGATCATTGAGTTTGGTCATTTCAGGTGCTCTTGGAATTGTCTCTATGCTGTTCTTATCATTGCACAAGAACCTGCATATTGTGTCTGCACTGCTCTCATTAACAGCTGGAAGTGCGGGAGTTGCTATTGCTGATGTCACTGTTGATGCTTGTGTGGCACAAAACAGTGGTGCTCATCCTTCCCTTGCACCTGATATGCAAAGTTTATGTGCTTTGAGTGCCTCTATCGGTTCATTATTGGGCTTTTCCTTAAGTGGTATCTCCGTCCGTGTACTTGGGCCTGAGGTTGGCAGACTCTCCTTGTACTATTTTGATTTAACTAAACTATGTACTCATATGATGCATTTCTTATTTTGGTTTTCTCTTATTTAAAGGGCGTGTATGGCTTGTTGGCTATTCCATCGGGGCTTGTGTTTTTGGTTGGAATATTGCTAAAGGAACCTGAGATGCACAATGCTCCTTATCAACGGGTATTAAACCCATACATTTTTACGCGTAAATATGTATTTTGTCCTGGTAAATATATTGCTTCTGTTTTAGTTCCATGTAATTTTTCATCCTAGTAAACCCCTTTTTTACGATTTGACCCTTCATTTTGATATAATCTCCGATCTTCTAATCCACATTCAGGTAAGCGAGAAATTTGGAGGCGCTGCAAAAGCTATGTGGAAAACTCTGCGATGCGCTGCTGTTTGGAGACCATGTTTATATATGTATTTGTCCCTTGCATTAAGCTTTGATGTCTCTGAAGGGATGTTCTACTGGATGACAGATGCAGAGGGTGGTCCTCATTTTTCAAAGGTGCGAAATTGTGAACCGATTTTATTTAATTTATGGACAAAGTTTTTCATTTTTTACTGCAAAAAGTCAAAACTGGACAAATACTCCGGGACGGAAGTAGTATATAATTGTGCTTACACTGCTAACTAGTGCAGGAGAGTATTGGTTACATATCTGCGATTGGGTCCATCGGATCTCTGTTGGGCGCTATACTTTACCAATACGGATTAAAAGACCACCCCTTTAGAGACCTGCTTTTCTGGACACAGTTGCTGTACGGTCTCTCAGGAATGCTTGATTTGGCTCTCATACTACGCCTAAACTTGAGATTTGGCATACCGGATTACTTCTTCGTGGTGATAGATTCGGGCATCTCTCACATGATAGGGCGGCTGAAGTGGATGCCCCTTTTGGTATTAACTGCCAAGCTGTGTCCTCCTGGCATTGAGGGCACAATCTTTGCTCTGCTGATGTCAATTGACAATTCTGGCCTTTTGACATCGTCGTGGGGTGGAGGGTTCTTACTTCATGTGCTGAATGTCACTAGGGCGCGGTTCGATAAGCTCTGGGTGGCACTTTTGATAAGAAACGTGTTACGGGTCACCCCTCTTTTTGTGCTGTTTTTGGTCCCGAGTAGTGACCCCAACTCTTCCATCCTCCCGACCGAAAGTGGGACCCGCGGGTCTTCGACTCAGAACACAAATGTAGAGCTTGTTTCCCTAGTTGACCGCAGCAGGGACACACTGCTAGATAACCAGGCGTCACCACACTAACGCGGTTTGATCCTTATATTGACCAACGCGGCTATTCTTTAAATAAAAAAACCCTTTCATCTCACATTTATATCTTAATTGCTACATAATTGGTCACCAAGAAATTTTGTTCACATTTTTCTTTCCATTTTGTTTTTGAACCTGTAAGGAGTTTAGTTTATGCAGAGCGAAATCCCGCACACCCTATGCTAGAGAATATAAGTCCAGTAATATATATATAGAGGGAGAGTACACAGAGATAGTAAGTAGCCTACCTTGAATCCATGATTAATATAGCTTGTAAGTTTATATTGCAGCCTGGCTGGGCTTCAAATACAATCTGTTCTGGTCATTTGTATCAAGTTAGTAGCTATGAACACTTCTTCTATATGTGTTATGGTGTACCAATTGCTCAATGACAGGTTTCTTATCTGTCACAATTATTGTTTCTTCGTCTGATCTTATTATATAGTCTATGGAGATTAGCGATGGGAATGGAACGGATTGGGTTTCCTAAAAGTCATTGGGTTATGTGATCATTAGGCCACTAACAGAAAATCCAATATTTTCGGTCCGGTCTGAGTTATTGAACATTTTGAGTTCAAGGTTGGATGGGTAACCGAGTCTTGGATCGATTATCACACCCACAAAGATAACCTTTATGAACTTCTAACGTTCTTCAAACTCCAAGAAAAAGAGGTAAAAAAAGATGGAAAACTTCGAACGTTTTCGGGCTCCGATGAAAAGAGAGAGATTTACACTATGTTTGGGTCAAGGAATTTGAGAAGGAAAAAAAAAGAAAATGAGAAGGAAAACATTTTTATTGTTTGGTTAGAGAGGAAAAGAAAAGAAAACTGGAAGGAAAAGAAGATGAGAAGGCAAAATTACTAAGAGGAAGAAAAACTAAATTCCTCCTATTTTGATGAGAAAACGGAGGGAAAATCATTATCTTTTCTTTTCCTTTCAAACTCCTTGAACCAATCATAGTGTTACGGTTTTTGATATTGCTGATTGCTTGAAAAAGTTTGATGAAAGATTACAATATGTAAAGAGTAAATGTAACGCTAATTGACGTAATGGACCCGTTGGCCCAAACTAAAACCCTAAACATGCTTAATAATAAAATAATACTCTCTCCGGATTTAAAAACTTTTCCTGTTTTGATTTTTTGGTCAAATAATGACACTCGTTTACCACAAATTGGGTGAAAAATATATTTAATTATGATATAAATTTAATATAATTGGGTTCATCTTAGGATATACTCCCTCCGTTCCAATTTAAGTTGCTTGTTTCGATTTACAATCTTTGACTAAGATTATTTTTAAATCATTTTATATGGAAAATGGTGTAGAATTAAAAAATAAAAATTACATATTAAAAAACGAAATCAAAAGATCGATAAATCTATCAAATTACTAACAAAAATAGGGAAAGAAAGTGAATGAAGTTTTACCATATAAATAGTAAATATGTAATTTAATTTGGGAGAGAGGGATTAGTTTTGATATATCAAATTTTTATATCATTTATTTGTTTCAATTATATTTATTTTGTAGTTAAAGAATGTCATTATTTAACTACTCCGTAAAAAGAATCAAAATAAGAAATGTTATTAAGATGGGAGGGAGTAATAAGTAACTACTACTAACAATAGTAAATAATTCGTCTTCCGTTTTAGCAAAACCTTCACATGATGAAAGGTTATTTTTGTCTTTTCCTTCTTTTTGGGTGAGGGAGAGCTCCAGAATGCCCAAGAAATTACATGTTGAGAAATGACTCATTCATCACTTGAAGCCGCATAAAAATAGCTCTGATTCTTTTTTATAGCTAGGGGTGGGTTCGGTTTTGGCGGTTCGGTTTTTACTCAAAACCAAAGACAAAACGGAAGGTAAGTTGGCGGTTAGATTCGGTTCGGTTTTGCATAAAAAATATGTAAACCGTTGGTTATTCGGTTCGGTTTTATGCGGTTTTTATCTTGGTTTTTTTCGGTTTTTTCGGTTTATAAAAGTAAATATTTATAAGCATTAAAAATTGTATAAATACTAACTCGACGAAGCAATAACAATACGTATGTTTGGGTTTGGTTTTTTTGCTTGATTTTTACACCAAAAAAAAGCCGAACGGAAGGTTAGTGTTCTCATTAGTTCAATTTTATATACAAAATATTGGTGTTTATATTCTTAGATTTTTTAAAGTTTATAATATGGTTAAAATGTTTATATTCTTAAAATTTTCAAAGTTTATAATATGGTTAAAATGTTTAATTAATAGTTAAGAAAAAACTTTAATTGACTAGTAATTTATTTGCATTTTTGTTTATATGATTTTTATACATATCACATATACTCATATAAATAAAATGAAGCATATAAATAAGTTCGGTTTATTCGGTTCGGTTCGATTTTTCAAAGTAAAAACCAAAACGGAACCAAATAATAATGGTTCGGTTCAGTTTTTTTACATTCGGTTTCGGTTTTTTCGGTTTCGTTTTTTTTCTAGCTCGTTTTGATCGATTTCGGTTCGGTTTTCGGTTTTCGGTTTTCCCGACCCAGCCCTATTTATAGCATCGACTTTCGAGTTACTAATGACAAAGGAGAGCGAGAGAATTACCAACATATGTAACAAAAAAAACTCATTCCTGGCAGTGTAAGTCAGACTTTTTTTTTGGCAGTGCAGGACGGATTTGGCTAATCCGTTTCAATTTGAAAATTTTAAATGAAACGGATTTGGCTAACCCGTTTTAGGATTTTTATTTACGAAACGGAGTAGTGTACTGCGTTTCACATTATTTTTTTTAAAAAAACCCCAAACAGAGTAGGCAAATCCGTTTCATATTAAATTAAAGCCAGACGGATTAGCCTACTCCGTCTCGCTATTCGGATAACCCCAACCCTTCCCCTTCCGTCGTCCACTCAAAGCCCTTCTGCCATTCACATCCGCCGACCGACGAGAGAGAGCTCGCCATCCACCGCTCCGCACCGACCGACGAACGAAGGGGAACCGCCGCGAGATCCGACCATCCGAACGGGGCAACCGGAAATCCGAACAGGACAATTCAGATTAGGTTAATCCGTTTCATTGAGGTATTTTTTATTTTTTAGTTAATTTATATATATTTATTTATTTATGATAATATTTAGAGTTATGTTTTATAAAATTGTAAAGCATTAGGTAAAATTACCAATTTGGGTGAATTTGTTAATTATAATTGATATACTCCGTATATTATTAGTTTGTAATTGCCTAGTTCTGTGCTTGTTTTAAATCACTAAATTCTTTTGTGGTTTGAATGAAGTGCGCTGTTATTAAATGAATAAATTATTATTCTGTAATATTTGAAGCAAATGGATGTTCACCCGGGACCTATCTCACGAGACGTTTTAGTTCTTGAAGGCGGAGTACATAGATGTGATGCAGTTTGGGCGGACGAAGATTATGCCAAAAAGAGTCTAAAGTGTCATAGGACTTGTTCTAGTATATATCCGAGGACTCTTGTTGCTAATAGACTACCTCGTGTCATAGAGATCTTACGGGATTTTGGATTTTATGGGGTGGAGAAGGTGGGTGGATTACAGTTAGATTGGGCTCTGATTACTTCTTTAGTGGAGAGATGGAGACCCGAGACCC